TACATATATATGTAAATTACTAAGAAACAGAATCAACTTAATGTTACGATGTGTCGTTTTTGAAAATCTGTCATATGTGCAGGATGTAAATTTTAAAAACCAAGAGCCAAATCTGTGTAACGTTAATCTTGTGAATAAAATTGTCAGAATCCAACGGTTAAAAATAAATGTTCACATGTAACTACAGGGGATTCTGAATCATTCGTCTAACATTAACTTTTAATTTCCTGTCCTGTTTTAAGAATATAGTATTTTATGATTTTAAGTGGTGTGTTATGGTCACAGGTCCCTATTCTCAGCTATAGCTCAGTCCTGCTGGATCACTGCTTCCTGAAACAGAAAACTGCAGCAGCAGGGATCATTTCAAACAGTTGTTTGGTAAATAAACAAGAATGTATTGCTGTTACTGTCTTCTATATGTTTGTTTCTTTAACAATAAAGAATGTTTTGATTCCTTTTTTTTATAAAGAAAAGTGTCTGATTTATTCTCCACGTGACGTCTTCATCTGTTCTCACCATAAACCCAGCCTGTGGTTTAACTGGAAGCAGCAAGCCCAGAAATGTTTCCCAGAGGTCTTCTAATTTAATTTCATATTTGAAAAAAGAAAACTGGAACTGGAACCAGAGTTTCCATGTCAGAGCTGTCAGATTTCACAAGGAACACAAATCAGACTCATGAAAACTGGTGACGGGTTTTAAAGAAAAATTAAACCAACAAGGCTTGCATTTTTAATTAGATATGCATTTCAGTTTAGAGCTGGACAATATGGTTCAAATTTATTTTGCAATATAACTCCTAATTTTGGTTTATACAATTGACATGACACCTTTGATAATGAAACAAATATAAATATAACAAACTGCAGTCATGCTTATGTTGTTCTTTTTTCACAGACAGGTGTAGATAAGTAGTTTTCTGTTTGCCGTTAGTGACTTTTGAGCATAATATAATTAAGGAAACGCTAATTTCCTGTATCAATATCTACATGAATGTTTCAATTTGCAGCACATTTTCTTTGGAAAAAGCTGAATGTTACTTTTTCTATCAGTAATTTGTTGTATGCCCCATTTAAATACTTTGTCAAGAGTTTGTTGTCATTTTTACAACATTTCACAAGTTACAAAGTGTACTGTCATATGTCCTTTTGGAGAACAGCTGCTACACCAATGCATGAATCATAAATGCCAGTTTGCAAGTGTGCGCACACCATCAGCCGAACAAGCCATGCAGATCTGATGCCTTTTAATTGGATTTGGTTCAGATCTTAATGCTGTAGGTTTTATTTGTGCCTCAGTCTGTATCGAGAGAGAGAGAGAGAGAGAGAGAGAGAGAGAGAGAGAGAGAGAGAGAGAG